TACATTATTCACCCTTTACTACAAGTTTCAAGTTGAATATGGTAATGGCTTCTGACAAACAATGCCTATGGAGGTCCACGTCGTATAGAATCCAATATAACTGCTATCGGTATTTTTAAAATTTTAACAGAATTTTTTAAGGGTTTTATTTTTTGAAAATTTCCAAATTGTGGAGAGTATTCAAAGTTCGGCCAAGCCGAACTTACTGCTTTTTAACTTGTTTGTTGTACATTTTGTGTTATTACATATGTTCTCCATTCTGATAGCTAACCGTTTTACTATTTAAATTTTTAATAATTTGGTCAAACAAGAGGCAGCAGTCCTGTTACATCGCCGCCAGTGGCACCTCAGGCGTTGCCTGTGGAGATTTCTGTGTTTAAGCCAGTCGAGACCTGGTCAATAATAGTGACAACAAAGAAGGATACTTATAGTAATGAGGTGGTTATGAAGGTGGTGGATGCGGTGGGCCCTACTCTTGATGTTAGGGTGCTTGAGGTGAAGGAGATGGGGAACGGTGGAGCTGTGATAAGGGCTCCCTATTTTGCTGAAGGAGAGAAGTTAGTTGCTAACTCTAAATTTGCGGATATTTGGAGTTGTCAGGAGATTATTGTCAAAATGGTTCACTTTGAACTCTCAACTTAAGAGTCCATCAGCGAGCTCTATGAACTCAATTTTGGACAGGTGATGACCCCGGAGGTGTTCAAGAAAATTGTACGTCTGGCTAACCGTCCCTGGAAGTCTGAAGATGCGAACCCCATGGTCAATGTAATTTTGGAGTATACGGAATGTGTAGCGGAGAAGTTGATTGCCGATGGAGGTGATGTGATGTTTTGTTTTTAGTGATTGAATTGTATAGTGAATTATATGAAAATTTATTGGAAGTATTAAAAAGTAAAAAAAGAAAGTTAAAATAAAAGTTAATAATGCAATATTTAACACGTCAATAACTTTTTCCATCATTTCTTCTTTAGATTCACACATTTAATTTTAAATCACTTCTTTATAAATATCTGTTACAAACAATTAGCTCTATACGAAATACTGAATAAAATAAAATGTCAGAAAAAATGCCAAGCACTATTATCGTAAAATGCCACCGTGTAAAGGCGCGAAGATTTACGCAGAAATTTTAAAAGAGAATTGATAAAAATGCCAGCTAAAAATTGGCAGTGTTACTATGTCGAGGACCTACTATTGGGACCTACTAGGTTTTCATATTGCCCCATAGAACGGTACCTCCCGATATTCAGTATTTTGTCCATTCAGGCCACATTGTCAAATGGAATTGTTTATAATTCGGTATTTAAAGATTGTAATAGGTTCTACACCCTATGGGATAAGGAAATTATCTATCCACGTTTTCATATAGTCCCCATTTGACGGTACTTCAAAGTATTAAGTATTTTAAAGATTAAATCCACATTTTCAACGGAAGTATTTCAAATTTGATTGTTGATGTTCATAATAGACACCAACCACTGTAGCAAATAATTGACTACATAGGTTTAATATTTCCTATATACCCCTTATAACGGTATATCCCGATATACGGTATTCTTATTATTTTAAACACTTTTTCTAACGGGTTTGTTTTAATTCTATATTTATCCTTCCATCCTATATTCAGAACCACGTGTGGTGACGGAACATTGTCTATATAGGTCCACCTTTTCTATATCCCCACATAACGGCACTTCCCAATATCGGGAATTTGCGTGAGTTTAGCCACATTTTCAATTTAATTGCTTTAAATTTGGTACCTGAAACTCATTATATATACCAACCCCTATAGCAGAAAATTGCCTATGTAGGTTAAAGCTTTGGTATATCCTAAAACTGCCGACCGTTTATGATATTTGAAATTTCTGATAAATCCTCCAACCGAGTTCACTGGGATTTTCCGTTTTAAATGAAGCTCGATTGTATACTTTTAAATGTTATCTTCATCTGTTGGGATGTATATTAATGGTTCGTCACTGCCGAACTTAAGGTGTTTTTACTTGTTTACATTATTGACAATAAAGAAACAAAATGTTATAATGACTTCGGCCGAAGTCGATGAAACAAGTTCACAAATTCATCGGTGTTTAGTTCTGACTTACATCATTATGAAGAGTTATTAGATTTGTAGATAATAATAAATAAATTCTAAATACTTTGTAGAATAAGTATAATCTTCAATTTTACAGAATCTAAATAAAGCGCAAATCTTTTAAACCTGTTTCTACCATTTGTCTGTTAGGACAATATTTTTACAATTTGAACACAATCTTATGTATATGCTAAGAAGTTTTTTTCCCTTTATTGGTAAGTCGCATTTCTATTCGGTCCTCCATAAATTTTGTAAGTACACATAACATATTACCTATTCGAATACGTCATTTCTATCCATTTCCGCAATATATTATATATTTATATTGATGTGGTCACTGAAAATGATAAAACCCAGCAGCAAACCCCAGTTGGAACATTTATACATTTATTGTTCTTAATTTAATTTTCAACTCAAACAATAAATAAAATCTTTTTTATACCTTCCACCATACTTTGGAGGGTATATTAACTTTGTAATTCCGTTTGAAACTCCTCGAAATACTCATGTCAGACCCAACAAAGTATATATATTCTTGAGATGTCGTATTTCAAGTTCGCAATGAATACTATAGCCTGTGACAGAAAATTGTCTATGCTGGTCCAAGTCTTCGCACAGCTCCGATATAACGTTACCTCCCTTTATACGATATTTTAATGATTTTAGCTACATTATTCACCGTTTATTTCAAGTTTCGAATTTGAATATGGTAATGGCTTATGAGAAACAACGCCTATGTAAGTCCACGTCGTATCGACCCCAATATAACGACTATATTCCGTATTTTTTAAATGTTAACAGAAAGTACAACGTGTTAAAAACAACGTAAGACCATAAAATCAGTATTTACACGCAAATAAAAGTGAAGCCAATGTTATTTCATACCAAGGAAACTTACTAACCACATTTATAGGAACCGAAGTTTTAAATTTTTAAATAGTAGATCATAAATAATATATTATTTTAGACAAAAAAGGAAAAAGTAACCATTGTCTACAATAGTCGGATCTAAATCGGTCGTGACACTGTGCGTCGTAATGTGAAACCAAGTAAATTAAATGTTTAAAATTCTGTTTTTCTTTATATTTTACGATTCCATTTAATTGTTTTTAAACATGAATGTTTGCCAAAATAATTATAAAGCAAATGGATGAAAAATATTTGAATACATAATGTTAAGTTAAGTCTGTTTTGTTGTTGATTTAAATAAGAAAAGAGAAATTTGACTGGAAAGAGACATTTTTTCTTGAGAAGCGCTGGTCTATATAGACAGATGTTCTGTCACCCGCGGTAGAATTCACTACCAATTCTAAATATCAAATTTTAAAGAAATCCTCTAGAAAATGTCTAAATATCAAATTTTAAAGTATTCCGTTAGAAAATGTGGTTGAAATCGTAAAAATAACGAATATAAGAAGAAACCGTGGGTCAAACAAAATAAAATATAGGTAGCTTAAAATGTTAGCTTTTTATCTGAATTCGTCCTAAAGAAAGATACATCGAATTAGTAGTTCGAGGAGTTACAAATGCAATGATGAATTTTTTGTATAGTGAGGATATAATAATTATTCCGTTTTAGGAAAGAAACAAGAAACGATATTTAAAGAACAACAACAACACCACTAAATCTGTAAAGGGGGTTAAATAATTGCATTATAAACCAGTTAAAAAGTAGTAAGTTCGGCCGGGCCGAACTTTGAATACCCTCCACCATGTGCCACGAATTTGCAAATTTTCAAAAAATAAAATCCTTAAAAAATTCTGTTAAAATTTTAAAAATAGCGAATATGGCAGTTATATTGGGGTCTAAACGACGTGGACCTACATAGTCATTGGTTGTCATAAGCCATTACCATATTCAAATTTGAAACTTGAAATAAACGGCGAATAATGTAGCTAAACTCATGAGTATATGGTATATAGGGAGGTACCGTTATATCGGAGCTGTGCGAAGACATGAACCAGCACAGACAATTTTCTGTCACAGGCCGTAGCATCCATTACGAAATTTAAATACGACATCTCAAACAATTTCGGTGGGTATTGTACTTAAAATCGTCAAAATACCGAATTTAGGGAATACTGATATATGGGGCCTACACGAAGACCTGGACCTGCACAGACAATTTTCTGTCACAGACTGTAGTTCCCATTACGAACTCTAAATACGTAATTTGAAACTATTCCGGTGAATAATGACCCTAAAATCATCAAAATACCGAATATTGGGATGATAACGTTACATCCCAACGGTACATGGGGACCGGACCGTGGACCGGCACAGACATTTTTTTTCATATGCTATAGTATCCATTACGAACTTCAAATACCAAATTTGAAACATTTCCGGTTAATAATGTCGCTAAAATCATCAAAATACCGAATATAGGGAGGTACAGTTATATGGGGGCTATACAAAGACGTGGACCTGCACAGACAATTTTCTGTCTTAGGCTGTAGTATTCATTTCGAACTTCAAATACCAAATTTGAAACAATTCCGGTGAATAATGTCGCTAAAATCATCAAAATACCGAATATCGGGAAGTACCGTTATATGGGGGCTATATGAAAACGTGGACCTACATGGCCCTACATGGACTTAACCTGTCTACTGAAAAAATAAACATGTGTTCAAAATTTTAGTCTTCTATCTCAATTCGTTCGAAAGATAGCGTGATTACAACAGATAGACAGACGGACAGACAGACAGAAAAACGGACATCGCTATATCGACTTAGAACTTTGCTTTGATCAAGAATATATATACTTTGTTGGGTCTGACATGAGTATTTCGAGGAGTTACAAACGGAATAACAAAGTTAATATACCCTCCATAGTATGGTAGAGGGTATAAAAATGTTTATTAATATTATTTTAATAGATATTTTGTTTTTATATTTGACCAGATTAGGAGAAGCGGAGTACGCTAAGCTGAATTTCTATGGTAAGCCTAGCCAATTGTTAAATGCAACATCTCTTGCCTACGATGATGTCGATTATGGATTAGAAAACATAGAGGAAGCCGACGTAACGGGATATGCGTACACTGGTGATGAAAACGTAAGTGGTAAGCATATATTATATACTAGCTGGCTGCTTTAATGTGATCATGTAACTGACATCATATTTATTATAAATAATAAATATAACATTTAGAAACCTAAATAATATAGCACATATATTAAAAAGTATATATGAAATGTTCATAATAGTCTCAGCTCAATTTCTAGTATTGTAAAGTCTTTAGCAACATTTTCCATTCAAATGAGCTGTAATTTAGAATTAGGCAGAATCATTTCAGAATAGGCAGAGCTAATTTCTCTTTTACAGCCATTATTAAACCGCCTCCAAATGTGCGTAAAAATCCCCATAAACGCCATGTTTTTGATTATATTAAAATTCAATGACGACTGTTTGTCCGTCAATAGAAAAAAATATGTGTAGATCGGTGGACCTGGAAAGTACTGTTTTAGAGGGCTATACCAAAATATGTACCTATGTTAAAGTTTTTCAGTAAGATAGTTCTTAACCCCCAAAGCAGTCTTAATACACATTATATGCAAATCTATTAGAAATTGTGGCCAAGACACTCGAAATAAATAAAATCAGGAGGTACCTTTATATGTACTTTAATAATTTTCATCAAAGAGGTTTTCTACGCTCTTAGAAGCCAAGATGGAAAATTAGGGTCAAATTAATTGAAAAATGGGGCAAAGACCTTGGGAATAGCTGTAATCAGGGGATACCTTCAATAGAGAGTGTTACGAAAACGGAGACTTATGTTTATAAAATTTTGAAAGGATGGTTTTTTTCTTTCTAAAAACCGAAATCACCAAAATTTTCCGAAATTAGGTTGAAACATATAACAGAAGTACTTGAAATTGGGGTATCCTCTTTATGGGGGCTATACTAAAACGTAGACCTGCATGACCCATAGTTTATACAAATGATTCTACACGTAACCCATTACCGTATATAATTAAAACTCTGTAGGAAGTTTTGCGAGGTATAGAGTAAAATATTTGAGGATATTTGTATATGATTAAGGCTAGATGGACATAAAATTGTGTCTAGTGCCAAGGGGTGCCGGTCTGTCGTCAAGAAATTTTGAACGCGATGCGATTTTGAGAAAATTTTTGAAGTCTAGGAATGTGAGATGTATTTTCTTTTTTTGTCCTCCGTCCTGGGATTGTAAAGGAAGTGGACTTAAGATTACGATACAGATTTGTAAGAAAAGCGTCAAGGTTTTCTCAATTTGATATAATGTTTTTGTCAGAAAAACCTTGCTCCCACTATATGATAGTTGAGTCTGGAAGACATTAGAATAAAATAATGCGAATGTTGGATCCCAATTTCCGACATCGATCTCGTACATTACAAGCGTATCAATTACTTGATATCACTTTTCATTGACTAAATGGTGCTCACTTACTCGGATTTTATGAAAGGCAGTTTGAATAAAACTTTCAACAGATCATTCATCAGATTTTGCTTATTTTCGAAACGAGAGCATAAGTTATGCGAGGAAAGCGGGGAAATGTGATTGATCAAGGCCCATATCAAGTGCTTCTCCTTTAGTCTTCTGAGTTAAATGAAATAAAAGCTCAACTAATTGAGCTTAGAAATTTTGATGTGTACCGCTGTAAGCATATCTGGAAATATGGGTTAAGGCGTGTAATCTCCATTATAGACTTATGAAGGAAGGTTAAACGAACAGCTGGAATTATGCTCAGGATGGATAAAAGTGGCGGGACTTTGGAATGATAATTGCGATGGGGATACTACTTCCCCTATTTTGCGGCTGCTTGAGAGTCTACCTTATCCATTCTTTCGTCCTTATCCCCTTTTTTCCAATTTACCATGAATTGCTCGAATGTTGTCCTCACATTTTACCATAGTTTGAAAAGCGGTGCGAAACAATCGCCACACGTCCTGGTGGACATACACTTAAGCCAGTATATGCATGTTGTGCGCTCTAGACTAAAAGGTTGTTGAAGAAGACTGCTTATATTTGAAATACAGTCGCCTTAACAAAATTCCTTAACTGTCTTATTTAATTTATCATGATCTGATTAAGGCATGTTATGCTCTGCAAATACTGCTATCTGCAAATCCTATCTCATACATATGAACTTTTTGGCCCAGATGCCCCGTGAGGATGCATGTTAACCCACAAATCTCTTTGTTACCTTGTAATAAAATAATCTTTTTATCTCATTGGGGTCGACTCATAGGATTTTTGGGGTTTTCTCTACGCCTTCATTGTTCCATAGGGATACTTTATCTCATTGGGGTCGCCCATAGGATTTTTGTGGTTTTCCCTACGCCTTCATTGTTTCATAGGGATATGTGGGCGTTTTCTGTCCGTTTCTTCAACTCTAGACGTGACGCGTTTAGCGGCACTGGATTGTCTAAGTTTACTATTCCCAATTCGCTGCCTCTTTTGGCGAGAGAGTTCGCAATCTCGTTACCTCTAAGTCACGCATGATCTGGTACTCATATAATGCGTACTGAGCCGTGTTGAGAATAGTTGTTGATTGAGTTTATACATTCCAATACAGATTTTAAATTAACTGTTTTGGATGTTATAGCTTTTATAGCGGGCTTACTGTCCGTTAGGACCTTTACGGATAGCCGGTCTCGTGTTGGTATTAAGCTAATTCAACCACTCCGCAATCGCCCGCACCTCCGTTTGAATTATTGTACTATGATCGGACAAGCAGAAAGAGATTACGGCGTTTGGTTCTTCAATAAAAAAGTCTCAGTTCGACTCTACCCCTTTGTACTAAGCCGTCTGTATAACAACAGTCTCCAGTCGGCATTTGCGATAGCAACCGGTCGATCTACGAGTCTCTGGTAGGAATTAATGGTTAACATGAGGCAGCTACAATTGATACAGGTATCCGGTCCGATACAAAGTTGTCCATTAATTCTCACGCTGCCACCTGTAAAATTGTTTGATAGTATGTGACGTGGCCCTTACTTATCCATTCTAGTTTCTAGTTTTTTACGTCAAGCTCTATTGTAAAGCCTTCGGACATCTTACGAAATTCCCCTGTCATCCAGGGTTTTTTGTAAGCAGATTTCCTCTCTCGAAGTGGACAGCATTCTTCGAATGTCTTTACTAAGGTGTCCGTTAACCTATTGACATTTCTGTCTATATCATATATACTTAGTTATTCAATGTTTTCTTGCCTAGCCTTTCTTTTACTAGTCTCCGTAACTTCATCCAGTTTGTCTTGGATTTGTTTCGGGTAAGTTCAAACCTTATATACCGATAGGACGAAAAAGAGTGCTCATCCGAATCCATTCAATTGTGAAGCTCGTTTATATTATTTTCTGAACAAAAAGTAATGTCTAGAACCTTCTAAATATTGTATTTACAAATGTTCCATTCTTTCTAAAGCTAAGAATATTTAGGTCGTTAGTATTTAGATAATCTAATAGGGCCTAGCTCTTATTAGTGTTAGTACTACGCCATGTTCGTTACCTGTTCGTTTTGCTTTGTTTACCATCTGCTGCAGTTCCGACGTAGATGGTATTGTTGATGACTCCAACGGCAGGTACACTGACGTTAGGTACATGCTGCAATTCCTCTGTTTCAGTACTGTTGCTTCCGATGTTGACAACTCTGGGCAAAAATCATACATTTTTGGGACATATTATACAAGTTATCGGTCGAGACCCTGTATTGGCATAGTAAAAATGCTTTAGTCCAGAGACCTTGTTTCTAACTGTCGAAGGTTCCTGAATCAATCCAATGTATATCTTACCTGTATTAATTAGTTTCATCAGAGCTATAGTTGCCGTCTCGCTCCGATGAAGGTTGATATGGAGTAGAAGGGCTTCTTGAGAGTCGCTGATCTGTGTTACGACTCCCTGTTTTGTTTTGCTTGGCTGTTTTGGTCAAGTTCGAAGATGGGCTATATCGGTCCACGATATCGTATACCATATAACGGTACTCCCCGATATTCGGTACTTTTGATGATTTTAGTCACATTTTTCAACGGAATTGTCTGATAATCCACACAAGGAGTTCCTTGTAGGTACTTTATCCCTTGGAAGAGAATTATCAATATAGGTCCACGATATCGTATAGCCCCTATATAACGGTACCCCCGATATTCGGAATTTTGATGATTTTACCCACATTTTTCAACAGAGTTGTCTGAAAATCCACACAAGGAGTAAAAGTACAACAGTGTTGGTCACCTCAAGCAAGCGGGTCCACGTCTTCGTATAGTCCCTATATAAAGGTTTTCATTTAAGTGGTAGTTTTCAGATTTTTTTTGAAAGTTTTCAAGTCCCTTCCAAAAGTGGAGTATGTTATAAGTTGTGTATACTTTATATTCTATTATATTCTTCCCCTTGACCCGATTAACGAGAGTCCACATTTGATGCTTTATTAAAGATACATATTCCCTTACCATTGCTTTTTCCATTAATCGTTCAGGTTCGATTGACTCATCCAATGACTTTTCAAACGACTCTTCCACGTCCACGTCGTATAGACCCCAATAGACGGTTATATTTGGTATTTTTAAAATTTTAACAAAATTTTTTAAGAATTTTATTTTTTGAAAATTTTTAAAGTCGTTCCAAAAGGTGGAGGGTATTCAAAGTTCGGCCCGGCCGAACTTACTGCTTTTTAACTTGCTTTTTAATTTTATTGTCTGAAAGCAACAAATTTTGGAAATAGCATCAAATTTTAGAATAAGTTTAGATTTGTTCTTTGGCACGAATTATGGGCTTCAAACGGCCAATGAAATCGTCACACGCTTACCGAGTGTTGCTCTGCAATATTTTGGCGCTTTCCCGTCGAAGCGCATGCTTGAGGTGGTACTGTGGTACTTTTTAGTGCTAACCTTGCTTTCCAAAATACTTCAGACACAATAGTCCAACGGATTAGTCCAACGCAGGGAATAAAGCGAGGAACCTCATTTTGTAACCATTATTGGGTGGCGCGTGCTGGGTGCGATGGTGCTGAATCTATTTGGAATGTCTGAGGACGGCGGCCAAAAATGTTTGCGTGCCCAAGGCTTTAATATACCCTCCGGAAT